CAAATCAATATAACCCCTATCAATATTCCAATGGCAGTTTTCATAAAAATAGAACAAAAAAATCCTCATATGAAACTGCAGACTTCCCTGAATAGCCAATGAAATTCTGAGGAAAAAAAAAAAGCCAAGGTATCACACTCCAAGACTTTGCACAAAAACTATACTACAAAGCTATAGTAGTCAAAATGGTATGGTATTGGCACAAAAACAGACACAAAGAACAATGGAACAGAATTAAAGGCCCAGAAATAAACCTACACATACACTCGCAACTAATCTTCAATGAAGAAACCAAGAATAACATGAAGAACAGAAAATCTCTTCAATAATTTGTGTTGGGAATCTTGACAGCCAGATGCAAAACAATAAAATGAGACAACTATCTTACACTTTACACAAAAACTAACTCAAAGTGAATTCAAGATTTGAATGGAAGACCTGAAACAATGAAGTACATACAAGAAAACAGGCATTGAGCTACTGGATATAGGTCTAAGAGGTGTTTTTGTGAAATACATAAAGCAAGAAAAGAAAAATTTAAAGAAATAGACTACATAAAGCTTCTGCATAGCAAGAGAAACCATCAACAAAAAAGGCAACCTAATAAGTGGGAGACTTTGCAAAAAACATTTCCAGTAAGGAGCTAATATCCAAAATGGATAAATAACTCAACAATTAAAAAGAGAAAACAATTTTAGACTTTTTTGTTGTTGTTAATCCTCATGCAAGGATATTTTTCCTTTGATGTTTCTCTTTTTAAGATATAGTGGGGACGGGGATGGGGGAGACAGAAGCATCAGTGTGAGTGAGACACACTGATCGGTTGCCTTCAGCATGACTTCAGCCAGAGCAGTGGATGGAAGCTTTAACTCAGATACATGCTGTTGATCTAGAATAGAACAAACGACCCTTCAGTCTGCAGACTTACACTCTAACCACTGAACAAAACTACCCAGGATGGACTTTTTTTCCCCATTTATCTTCAGGTAGAGTGGGAGGGAGAGAGAGAAACATTGATGTGAGAGACATACTGACTGGATGCCACCCGAAAGACCCCAACTGGGGATGGGAGAAAACTGCAACTGAGGTATGTGACCTTAGTGGAAACCAAACCCAGGACTCTGGTCCATGGGCCAATTCTCTAACCACTGAGCAAAACTGGGCGGGGCTACACATTTTTAAAAGAAAGACTACAGGTGGCCAAGAGGTGTGAAAAGATGTTCAACATCATTTATTAGGGAAATGGAAATTAAAACCACAATGAGATATCACCTCACATCAGTTTGATGATCAAAAAGACGTTAACAAGTGTTTGAGAGGATGTAGAAAAAAGTGAATTCTCATACACTTGGAAAATAGAATAGAGGTTTTCCTAGTAATCCAAAAGATAACTACCATATGATCCAGCAATTCTTCCTCTGGTTATTTACCTGATGAATATAAAGAACAATTAGTAAAAAATAAAAATAAAACATGCACCCCTCTGGTCATTGCAGCATTATTTACAATAGCCAAGTTATGGAAACTACCCAAGTGTCCATGGATGGATGACTGGGGAAAAAAAACCATGTGAGACATGCATATACACACACAATGGAATATGACTTAGCTATAATAAAGATTAAATATTGCCATTTGTGACAACGTGGACGGAGCTTGAGTATTATCTCGGGTGAAATAAACGAGATGAAAAAAGACCTAAAAAAACTATTTCACCAAATGTGAAATAGAAAACAAAAACTAACAAATGAACTAACAAAACAAAAAACAAATTCAAAAATGCATACACATAATAGCCGAGCTGGTGTGGCTTAGTGGATTGTGCATCCTCCCATGGACTGAGAGGTGTTGATTCAATTCCCAGTCGGAGCACATGCCTGGGTTTGTGGGTTGGATCCCCAGTGGAGAACATGTGGATTGATGTTTTTCTCTCACATCAATGTATCTCACTCCCTCTCAACAAAAAAAAAATTCAATAATAATTAAGAATACACATAATAAAATGGCATCCACCAGAAGGGAAGCAAAGTGAGTAAAAGGGATGAAATATATGTTAATGAAAAGAAACTACATTCTGGGTATTGAGCACACAATACAAATGTATTAAATCTAAAATTTATGTTACTTCAATAACTTTAACTTAAAAAATAAAAATGCCTTTCTAAAATGTGTCCTGTCCTGAAGGGAAGAAATCAAACACACTCCAGTTTTACTTCAAATATGCATTTTTAAAATAAATGTTTATTTCAAGTATGAAAACTAAGGTTTCAATATTATCCAAAATTCTGTTCAGTTTAGCAAGTATAAAACACAACTTCTGACAAAAGTTTACAATTAGATACAAAATACTTAGGAATATGCTTTGACATTCACAGTGAGCACTTTTGAATACTAAGTTTTGGTAATAAGTTTTAGAAACAAAAACATACTTGCAGTTCCAGGTAAAAGAAACAAGTCCTTAACTGAAGAACAGTTCTCCTGCAGAATAGGTTAGCATTTCAAAATAAGATTTGTATAATAATTCCTTTTAGAATAATGGTACGCTTGGCTCAATAATTTTGAAATTCGATTACTTTATGATTTCCCTGAAAACTACCATCTCCTTTTGTCTGCAACTCATAACATTCTCAAGCCATTTTAAGTAATTTGAATGATATACATCACCTTAATGGTAACCAAACTCTAAGAAATTTTATCAAAGAAATTCTGTGTAATTCCAGCAAAATATTTTGAACAGAAAGACAAAAATGTTCTCACAGCAATTACAGAATCATCTGAATTGAAGTCTCAAAATTATTTTAAAGGACTGCTACCAAGGCTTCTGCTTCTCTTCTCCAGGAACATCTTTTTGTAGGTTTCAAACATTGCTTTTGAATCCTTTACTGGGTTTTGTAGTGTCTCAAATCGATCTGCACTGAAGGTTCTCTTGGCGATTCTTGAATTAGCCAAATAATCATCATCTAAGGAAACAGAAATTCCATTTACTTACTTTATTATTCTCTTAATGTCAGTGATCAAAATAACTAGAGGAAACGCACCTTCTTCTCTGGGATAAAAATTGGGACAAGTTCAAGTCTCACTGTGCTTGATATACAATGGCTTTTTTTCAAATTATATATTACACAGGGGACGGCTTGCCTGTCCTTTGGGGGATGTTTTAACTACCCAGGGTGCTCTGTTCTACCTTTCTCCTTGATCAATAAAAATATAATCTATCATTTGAACACTATTACATGGCCTCCTTAAAAGCAACCTGAACATGCAATCTCAACAGCACAAACACCAGCCAGAACAGTGAATACATGGTTTTAAAATTCTGGTCTAGTTAGGCATTTGGTAATTCAAGACATGTCTGTATTTTGTTTAAACTGTTTCAATGCTATATTAGCCTCACTATTCCTTTTTCTCATGGGTCCAACTTTCCTTAATTTTGTGCATTTCTAGATGTGCTTTGTTTCACTGACTATTCCTCAGATTCAGAATTCCAATACTTTTCATTCTTGCTCTCGCCATTCCTTTCTGGATGAATTGTTTTACCTTTCTGCCTGGATGGGAAAATATTCTACCTTCTTTAGCTGCTTCAAATTCTTCTACACCCTCATTCCTTTTACCATGACATTAGTAATGCTGATGTCTGAGGTGGGTCTCTATGTTGCTTTCCATTGAGTTGTTACTTCTTCTTCTATAGTACCCGGTACAGAAAGTTTCATAAGTTGCTCCATCCACTCTGAAGATTTCTCATACCAAATTTAAAAATACACTTGTTTCTTTATAGCTGTTTCAGAGTTGTGACGTTTGTTATTGTCTCACATCACAAAGGTTTCATTCTCCAGTCTCTTCATCTTGTTTCATCTTCCAATTTCCAAGTCTCATCAGACTTATTTTTTTGGTACGTGCCCATAGCAGGAACCAAAACTAGGACTCTGGTCCACAGGCCGATGCTCCAACTGCTGAGCCAAACTGGCCAGGGCGTATTGAGCTTTTAAAGATGTCTACAACAGTCCAGCTCGCATGGCTCAGTCAACTGAGCATCATCCCATACACTGAGAAGTCGTTGGTTCAATTCCCAGGCAGGGCACATACCCAGGTTGTGGGCCAATCCCCAGTATGGGGCAGGCAGGAGGTAGCCAATCGATGTTTCTCTCTCGTACACCCTCTATCTAAAACAATCAATAAAAATATATTTAAAAATAAATATAACTTGTGTAACTGGGCCTCCTCTCACTGATTTTGTTAAAAGGAAATATATCACTTGCTTCCCTGTCCATATCATGACCAAAAAAATGGCAGAGAATGTCCATTCATCTGTACACCTGCAAATCTCATTGTGCCTTGATTAGGTCTTTTTCATCATGAATTTTAGTATTGATATTTCAGCTTCACTATTGCTCTTCCTGTTGGTTTTCATGCCTTGTGTCTTAAGCATCGCTGGTGCATGCTTCTATCTTCTGAGTGTTTTCATATTCAGAGTCCATGTATGCCTATAACCTCTTTGAATTATTTTTCTCTGTTTCTATGGACCTTCCTTGCTTCCATCGACATGCCCAATTACACCTTACTTTTGACTTCCTGTGTTTCAACTTGAGAAGTTTTTAAAATCTTGAATCCACTTCTCTTCTCATTTTCCTGTTCTAATTAAGAGTGCATTTCTCATCCTCTGATTCCACTTAATTTTTTCCTTTATGAACCTTTAGTGTGTATGACTCAATTTCTATATGTATTAGTGCTTTCAACCATCTTCTCAACTTGTCATTCCTCCTTTGAAAATGTGCTTCCCTTTCTTATTGCTTATGGTGAAATTCTTTTCCTACATTAGAGCGACTCTTACCTTGACATGTTCAGTATATCAAAACCAAGATAAAACTCCAGAACCCTAGCTTCTAGTTCTCAATGCAAAACACTAAAACTAAACTCACTAATTAAACTGGATATGAGAAGTTCTGGATTTATGATTGGCCTCCAGCCCAAATCCCTCCCAAGCAACCCCCCCCCCCAAAAAAAACATTTAGCATAATCAGTCTCTCATCCAAATAACTCAATTACACTTAGAAAATAGATCGCTGCATCCCCTCCCCATATCTTCCTATCATTGATACACATGAGCACTGAATCTTTTTTTTTTTTTTGCAGAATACAGAGTTTGTCCAAAGTTCAGTACAGACAGGCCAAACTGCCTTCTACAACATGATCAGAAAGCCTGCAAAAAAGGCAGAGCTGTGCTAAAAATCACTTTAATTCAGTTATCTCCACATTACAAGCGATCAGGCAGGCAGCGGTATGTGCCGTGTTCTTCCACATTAACAATATTGATCCTCTAATTGCTGATATCACAACATACATGTATCAACATTACTCAAGGTCATTTCAGAAGGAAATTTAAATTACACTCATACATTTTTATCATGTTATATAAAAGGTTGGACTTTATTCATTTTGAATATAAATGAAGACACTTGATTAAACACACACTTGAATAACAGGATTCGGATGTCAACAATCCCTGGAACTGGCAACCTCCTGTATATCAGGTACAGGATCCCTGCCAGAGGCAGCCAATTCAGTTTCCAACCTCTAAGCATTTGATACCATAAGAAAGCCATGCCAGAGCAGTGGGTATTAAGGCACAAGCAAGTCTAGTGGAGGTTTGGGAACACCCACCCCACAGGTTGAAGAAGGGGCCGAGGAGGAACGGACATACTGCCAACATGTCATCAAGGGCGTGAGTCTATTATCCCATCTCCACAAGATAAATGATAAAAGTCTCTGGTCTTTCAAGGTCACTTCAGCCGCTATAAAAGTGACTGTTTTTGTGGCTCTCTTCTGGAATGACAGAAGCTATCACCAGGACTGCCTGACAGGATGGTCCTTGGTGGTGGTGCTAGACAGTGGACTTGGAAAAAGACACCCACAGGTAGTATTTCTTGTCCACAGGGTGATTGTGCAGGTCAATGAGCGCTTGGATGGCTTCCTCCACTGAACCCATCTGAATCAGCGCCATCTGCCTGTTCTTCTTGAACTTGAATGCTTTGACATTTCTGCCTTTGCTGGAGAAAAGGGTCTTGAGGTAGTCTTCGGATATGGAGAGTGAAATGTTGGAGACGTGCAGGGTGGCTGAGGGCGGGAAGATGTTCTGGGAGTTCTTAGAGCCTGGCTTCTTGAAGCGGTGCAGGGGTGAGTTCCCATAGTACTTGGTGAGTCCCTGAATCTCCTGGCCCTCGCATGGCAGCTTCACATCCTTGCGCTTGGACAAAGTGATAGTCAATGGCTTCCCGTGCAGCTTGTGCCCACTGAGGTAGCTCATAGCCAGCTGGGCCTGGCTCCCATCTGCCATCTGTACCAGGGCATTCTCCTTACTTAACAAAATCTTCACCCTCTGTACATTACCATACACACCAAAAAGAATAAAGAGGCTTTGGGGTGTGACCATCTCAGGGTTGAGATTGCTGAGCAGCAGGACAGAATTTCCTGCCCCTGCCAGGCCTGGGATAGCAATCTGGCCCACTGGTGCTGCCATTCCTGCTGATGGGATAACCAGTGGGGCCAGGGTCCCATGCACATTGGGAACAGAGAGGCCTGCAGCTTGAGGCATGGCAAAGGTGGGAGGGGAACCAGCTCCTGCATTCAGAGAGGTTGACATTATCGCAGATGCACTGAATGTCCCAGTCATGGTTTGTTCCAGAGATAACTGACTGTCACAAGTGGGCAGTTCCAGAGATGTATAGTCTCGGCTCCTGTTATTGTTGTACTTGACAGTGAGATTGGTGTGCTTGGAAAAGTCGATGTGGAGTGTGCAACAAACATTGTAGATATTCAGCCCATCCAGCGACAGCTTTGCATGCTGGGCACTCACAGGTTCGGCATACTGCAGCAGTGCCTGGAACTTGTTGTTCTTGGTGAAAATGATGATTTTCAGTACTGTGCCAAACTGGGAAAAGATCTGGTGAAGCACATCCAGGGTGACAGGGTAGAAATGGTTCTCTACCATGATCCTGAGAACTGGGGTTGGGCCGATCATTGCCATCCCTTCATCCACAGCAGCAGAAGAGGCAGCCAGCACCTGGTTCCCCAATTGAACAGAGTTCACAGCCTTCAAGGATGCCTGGACCTGTGCCTGATTGTGTGAGTTGTCAGTATTAAGTCCCTTGTAGGTGGAGAAATGGATGGAGATAGGCTGGCCACGAAGGATGGGTGTCATTGAGGTGTAGTACTCCATCATGGTGTTGGCTGCCTCCTGTGTGTTCATCTCGATCAAAGCCTGTTGTTTACTTTTCAGCATCAGGAGGTTGGTGACCTTCCCAAAGGGCAGTCCCAGAAAAATGATCTCAAGCATGGTGACATCTATGGGGAGCTTCCCGATATGGATCACTCTGGAAGGCACACCTGCACATCTCTTGTCACCTTTGAACTTCTTGCTGTTGTTTCCGTTTGTTGTGGAATCTGAGTTAAGTCTGTCTGTAATGCAGGCAGAGAAGAGCTCATCAGATTCCCGCTTTGTACCAATTGCTGTGTCTGGGACAGTGTCGTCCACTGCACACAGAAGAGACTCTCGGGGGCCAGATTGGAGGTGATGGAACCGACACAATGGTCCCGAGTTAAAGACTCCTGAATCATTTTTAAATGAATATGAATAAGAAAATCAAACTTCATAATAGTTTTATAAGTATAATCCAACTTATATGACAGAGTAACAGAAATAAAGAAAAAAATTAAATAGATTTTACCTATTCCTTGGTTGGCTTCTGGAATCCTTTTCTCCTCAAGTGCACCTTTTATCCAGTCTTCCTTTGTACTTTTTATTCCTGTAACTATTTAAATATTCATTTTCAGATATCTAAATATATTGCTAATTCACCACTTTCAATACTATAACGAAAATCAAGTAAGTCTTAAATGATTTTAGAAGGTTTCAATATATCCATACAATTCTAAAAAGGGCCCAAGAAAACGCTTTCTCCCATTTGATGTGCCTAATTCTCTCACATTTAAAAAACAAGTTGCTTTAAAAGTTAATCGTGACTATTTAACAATGTTTGTCCCACTTGCACTGATCACCAATACATTTCAAGGTATTTAAGGGCACATGACAGGAAATGTCCTTCACATTGCCCCCACATATTTCCAATGTTCTCATTACATCCATGCCTCAAACCCTATAGTTAAAAGTGATGAAGTGAAACCACTAATACTTTACAAAATAACCTTTCTACTTTTTAATCATAAATACCTTTCACCTTTGAAGAACATGTACCTTATCTATGCTATAACTTTATGCACCTTAACAGATACTGTCTAGAAAGCACAGGAGAAACAGATTACCATTCAAATCTGAGTTTTTCAATCTGAGTTATCCATCACAATGTTTTAGAAAACTCTTAAGTGTTTCCATAGTACCACAAATAATTGGTCATCTACTTTCTCCTTTCAACTATAATACATTGAGAATATTATCATTCAGCCAACCAATAATGTTTGTCACTTTAGGTTTGGTGACTTAACATTGGACAATACTCCTTCCACAAAACTCCCTTTTATTTGTACGCTAGACATTAACCTTTTAACTATAGTGAGAGAGCAGTCAACAAATTCTTCAAAGATGTTATTAAAACATTTATACATAGAATAAGATTATCAATAATCATTATATATCTCCTAATTTGCAGACCAAAACTCTAGTTCAGAGAACTATGAAATTTCAAGTCCAAAGGGGATCAAGACGACTCTCAAAATAACATATGCATTCCTAACTTACCAAAATAAATATTTTTCCACAATATAGGATCCTTGCTACAAAAGCAAATCTGGATTTGACAAACTACAATTTTATATGCCTCATCATTAGTACAAGTTTAGTACAATTTACAATAAAGTGAAGGAGATAAACTTAAAGCAACTATTATCCAATGGACCGCTGATTTAATGAGAAACACAAATGACAAAAATGCACTCACTCCTAGCCACCCAGATGGCATGAGAAGCCACTTTTTGAACTAATGCTTTACATTGCTGTAGATACCATCAAAAAAATCATACTGGACCTTGCAAAGGGGCTTGCTCCTTCCTAGGACAAGGTTGCAGATTCTTCTGTTCCTTAATGGAGTCTGTACTCTTATTAATCAGTCCTTCTGGACACAATTTAAACTCCAGCATGCTTTGTTTTTCTGTGCTATCTTTCGTAGGTAAAGGACTCTTACGTTTGTTTTCCAGTCTCTTCTCTTCATCTTTATTAAACTTCTTGGGTAAACTTTCAAATTTTGTGAGACAAATACTCTCATGTTCAGTACACTTAAATGCAACTCTGTTCAGATATTGTTTCCTTTGCTCCTTTGCTTGGGCAGACATCTGGCTGCCTTCAAATCCATCATTAATAGTCTTTAAGTTTTTGTTGAATTTGGTTTTATCAATCCACATTTTATCAACTTGCTTTCCACCAACTGTTTCTTTAACATTCCCTGAAAGGTATGTTTTAGATACCTCAGAATGGTGGATTTTGAGGTTTTTACCATGGTTTGTACAAGTATTTGATGAATCATTAGAGGACTGCACACTGCTACTGGGTCTCTCGTTTGATTTCCCACAACTCTCTATTTTCATAGAAAGTTTATTGGACCTTATGTATTGAGAATCACATGGTATATTTTTCCCATAGTTTTTCTTTGATGCTTTCATACCCACTGTTTCTTTATTCTTCTGCCTTTGTAAATACTCCTTCAGTGATAGAACTCTATTAATTTTAGTTGAACCATCCTTAGAGCCTGAAGACTTAATATTTGATACTGTCTTTTCTTTAACCTTGGCTCTTTCATCTGGGTTTGACAAAAAATTACTTATTTTAAATGTACCACCACCATTTTTATTCTGCTCTTGTTTATCATGTTTCATCCGCTTTATTTCCAAATTATGCATGCTCCCTTTAGCTAACTTCCTTTTTTCTGGAACTTTTTGTTCAGAGTCACCTACTTCCAATTTTCTCTTGTCTGGCAATGTTAGCTGTACCAAAGAACCATTCTTCATATGCAGATCTTTATTTTTGTTTGTCAAGAAGCTTGTCTTTGCTTTTAGTTGATGTGAGTTTTGTGCTACAAGCTTTCTCTGCAAGCTCTCTTGAGAATATTTCATTTTACTACTAGAGTGAAACGTTACTTCATGAAATTTCAGTTTTCTTTTCCTTCTGTGACTTTTCAAGGAATCTAACTTTTTATTACTTTTAGATAAAGATTGACCAGATAATTCTTGTTCCGTCCTTAGTGAGCTGTTTTTTGTCTTGGATGTATCTTTTATATTCTTGGATTGTTCTATTTCAGGAAAATGTTCTTTTCCATCTGGAAAAGTCAAAGTAATAGTTTGATTGCTATTTGGAGGACTATTAAATACTGTGGAATCATCTCTATCAGCAGTTCTTTCTTCTTGCTTACAATTGTCGTTTTCCAAAGAAGACTGATCTATCCCTTTTTCTACCTTCGAAGTTGAGTCCTTGACGGAATTACACTGGCATTGGGGTACTCCTTTATACTCCATAGAGAGCCACCCTAATGCACAGCAACGGACATCATCTTTCTCCAAATCCGTTACAGAATTGCAACTCTCTCCGTCGTCACATACTTGTGGGTCACACTGGCTCCCATCTTTTGTGGCAGAGCTTTCTTTCTCAGGTTCTGTCAATTTGTCTACTCCACAGAGTTGATCATTCTGTTCAGGAAATAATTCTTTCATTTGCTCTGAGTTTAGTATTGTAATTTTTATTTGGTCTGTTGAGTCTTTGGAATCACAACTAGTTTTATCACAAGACTCATCTTTTGAGACTTGGTCTGTTATTTGTTGTGCCGCAGAACCTTCACTTGTGTTCACTGCTTCAATACCATAGGGAAACTCTTTTAAAAGTTCAGACAGTTGATCATGTGGATATAAGGCAGATGTGTTATCAAGAATCTCATTTCCTGCAGGATTCTGAGCAGTGTAATTGCATAAGACATCAATTTCTTGGGGGTTATTGTCCTGCAGAATAGCAGCTGATGAAGACTTATCTTTAGCTGAACTTTCTCTTTCAGTAATACGCTTCAAATCCACTTCCATTGGAATTTCATTTTGTACTTCAACATTCTTCAAAAATGATGACTGTGACTGATCTGGTCTTTTATGTGAAACATCTGTACACTGTACCAAATTACCTGCTTGAAAACTAAACTCTTTATTTTCAGTGATGTTATCTAATTGTTCTTTTTGCTGTGTACTACTAATCACTTGGAGATTGGGTAGAGAAAGAGAAGGGTTCTGTGTCTCAACCTTTTTCACAGGTAGGTCAAATATCTTTGCTATTTGGGAATTATAAGATGTATCGCCTTCAACAAGAGAACATATATTGTCAATCTGTAACAAATCACCACTCATAATATCACTGTCCATTGATTTAGAAGAGGCTTGCTGATCACTCAAAGAATAGTGACTACCTGGTTCTGAATTTATATCATTTCCTTGATTGGTATTCCGTGTATCTTCATTAGTTAACACATTTTGCTTTTCCTTCTGAATTAGTGGGAAAATCTTGTTTGTTGATGTACTTGTAACTGGTTCATTAACTTTCAAAGCAGTAACTTTTGTATTATCTACTGATGGATTCTGTAAGCTACAAACACTGCCTTCTTTAATAACTGGATACATTGTTTCAGGTAGCGATTCAGATGTTATACTTTTGACAGGCAATGTTTTGATATCTGAAAGAATTAAGGGTGACACTACAGCAATTTGAAGTTCCGGTCCCTTTGTAACAGTTGACCCTGAAATCTGATAGTTCTGCACTACCATTGGCAGAGCTGTTACGTGTGAGCAATTTATCATCTTATTCTGAGAACTTCCTACAACTGATAAAGGACCCTTATCAGAGGATTCACCAGGCTTTGAGATTCCAACTGCTGTTCTGTTAGTTAACTCACTACACTGTTTTTTACCTGTAGGTTCCGAAGGTTGTTTTTTCCAGAGAGAAAGACATGTTGTTAGCAATTCCAAAGAACAGTGACTGTCACTCTTCAAAGTTGATCCATTTGATGACGATTTATGGTCATGGCAAAAAGGATTTTCTGAAATCTTGGCATTTATATCACAAGTACTTAGAGTTTCCATGGATTGCAAGTTCAGCTGGTTACCAGTGATTTGGCTATTGGCATTCATTTCAAAACCGAGTGGTTTCGAATCCTGAATAGTTTCACAACCATCTTTTAATATGTTTGCCTCAGCTTTTTCTCCATGTGCAAGGAGATTGAGAAGTAGCCTATTTTTATTCAGATATTTTGAAGCATATTCCTCAAAGGCTGACTGTGGAACAAAAATTGTTTCAGAATTTGTTTGCACATTTTCTTCAACATTGACTAAATTTCCAGATGAAAACTGGGTGTTACTTAACGTTGCATGGGTACTCCCAACAGTTGATGTCTTTAAAGAGGTTGTAACTTTCAAATCATTTAACTGGTCTGGTACTGTTACCTTTTCTGAACACACAGAATTTAGTAAAATGGAACTGACCTGGTTAAGATGTCTACAATTGGTGTCCTGAATAGTAGATTTCAAAGTACTGTGTGTTCTATTTGCTGCTTCTGCAGTTTCTACTACTGCTGATGGTTGATCCTCTGCAGTCTCTGGAGTAACTCGGGTAACCTGTGGTCGAGACTGGATTTTGGCGGTTTGTTTCAAAGACAGTTGGGAATTGTGAGCTGATTTACAATAGGAATTTTCAGTTGTTTTAATACAACCTGCTGCCATTAAAACATCTTTACTAATTTTAATTTTCCTTGCGAGTTCAGAAAACTTCTTTTTCATGTCTACTAATTTTTTAATATCTCTGACTAACTTTTCTTTTGAGAAACTTGTGTCCAGTACTTGATTTGAAGTTAGATTACAAGAATCTACTCTTTCCATTTGATTATTCTGAGCAAGAATCTGAACACCAGCCACGGAAGATGTAATGGGGTCATTAAAAGGCTGGCTGATGTTAGCATTTACTTTCAAGTTACAGAAATTTCCAATTGTGTTGACATTTTCATTGAGGTTTTGCTGTTGAAAGCCTCTGCAAAAGTCTTTCCTCACTTCAGATAAGTGTGCTTCTTGACTCTGAGGAATGTCTGTATTAGACTGTTTGTTAACATGCTGCGTATTTTGCAAAAGCTGGCTCACATATCTATAGTCGTAAGGAGGAGGAATAGGAGGATGTCTTTTGTCAATGTGAGGAACTGCATGTTGATAGGATGGTATGGATGCAGTCTGCTTTGACGGTAATGTCAATGCAGAATTTGGAGGATGACGATTTTTAACTTGAAATGATGTAAGTGGCATAGGATTTTGTTTCTGAAGAGTAGGATTTTTCAAAAAGCTTTGTGGGGGATAACTGTATTGCTCTTGAAGTGGTCTGTAATCTGGATAAGTCAATCCATTGGATGTATGCTGTTGTGCCCAGTCACCGTGTTGCTCTGATAAAGATGAGGTAAGTCTCTGGTTTCCTTGATAAACTACAGAATCTCTTACAATATTAGAAGGGATCATCTGTCCTTGCATAGAATAGGTATCTGATGTTACAAATTGATTCTGTAGTGCATTTACATTGGGTAGATGAGTTCTAAAACCAGTTTGTTGAGATACAGTAGCCCCTGTATTAGAAAATATAGAATTCCTCACTGGCGAGTTCAACCATACATTTTGTGCAAGTCCTGAAGACATTTGCAGACTGTGATTTACTTGTTTGGGTCCTTTCATATTTGCATATGTTATTCTTTCTACTGAAGATTGTGAGGCAGAAACTGCCCCACTATGCATATCAGATACAGAGACTTGAGGAGTTTTATAATTTCTGACGTTGAGCAGTGGCTGTGAAATGGAATTTGAATTACCAAGAAACATGCATGCAGGTTGGTTACTTCCGGGAGAATTTAAAGAACCTTGAGATGGTGTATTTATTAAACTCGGCTCCAAAAAAGATGACTGGTTTTTAGAATACACTGGTGGTAAGGTAACACTCTCTGGCTTTGCATTCCAATTCATTGTTGATTTGATGGAGTAGAAGCGTAGTAAAAGTCAGAATTTGAGGAATCTGTAAGATATAAAGACCTTTTATTATTAAGGTGTTTTTCCTGAAGAAAACTTTTTAAAAAATTACTTGACTTTAAAACCAGTGCCAACTACATCTATCATGATTTCTGACACCTCAGAGTAAACAAATCCCAATCTTTAAGTTTGGAAGGAAGAATAGCAAAGGAAGATGCAACAATAAATATGGCAAATGTCAATATTTCCGAGATGCTTAACAAGAATTCTATACAATACAGTTAGCATTTTGTTCATTACATTTTAGTGGTAATTGGTTTCTGCTTTTATTTTTGTAACTAGCTCTTTAAATTTAAGTAAATCATTTTCTCTATTTTAAAAAAAGACAACCCCTAGCCAGTTTGGCTCGGTGGTTTGAGCGTCAGCTTGCGGTCCAGAGTGACCTGGGTTCGGTTCCCGCTAAGGGCGCATGCCTCAGTTGCAGTTTGTCCCCGGCCCTGTTTGGGTTGTGTGGGTGGCAGCCACTCGATGTGTCCCTTTCACGTAGATGTTTCTCTCTCTCTCTCTCTCTCTTCCTCTCCCTCCCTCCACTGTATCTGAACAAAAAAATGGAAAAATGTCCTCAGGTGAGGATAAAAATAATAATAAATAAATGACCAAAGCCCTGGCAAGTGTGTCTCAGCAACTGGAACATTTGCCCTAGGACCAAAGGGTCATAGGTTCAATTCTCGGTCAAGGACACATACATATGTTGTAGGTTCAATCCCCAATCAGGAGGCAAACTAATTGATGTTTCTCTCCCTCTCCCTACCCCTTCCACTCTTATCTACGAATTAATGGGAAAATATCCTTGGGTGGGGATTAACAAAAATAACTTTTAAAGCCCTGGCCAGTTTGGCTCAGCGGTTAGAGCATCACCCTGAGGTTCAGAGAGACCCGGGTTCGGTTCCCACTAAGGGCACGTTCCTCGGTTGCAGTTTGTCCCTGGCCCTGATTGGGTCACGTGGGTGGCAACCACTCGATATGTCCCTTTCATGTCTATGTTTCTCTCTCTCTCTCTCCCTCCCACTCTATCTGAACAAAAAATGGAGAAATGTCCTCGGGTAAGGATAAAAAATAATAATAAAGAAATAAAAAATAGAACACTAATACAGAACTGAAGCCTCATCTTTTAAATAATAAATTGAATCCTATCAAACACTGTCAACAGTTTGTCTGATTTTCATTGCTATACCTAGAATAACTTACCATTTCACTACACGTATTGTCTGCATAACATTCTACTTTATGGGTATATGAACATTTAACCAGTCATCTTTGACCAAATACAGGCATACCTCGTAAATTTATTAAATTGCTTTGCTTTAAATTGAAGGCAAGAGGCTCCACCACCAGAAAAGGTTATAACTATTACAATAGTCACATTTGTGCGGTAGTATGCCTGTACTTGGTTTTCTTACTTTTTACAATTATAAACTATCACACTAAGCGTTCTTGTATTTATGCTTTTATATTTCTGCCAAATGTTTCTGGAAATAATTTGAACTTAAATCAGTATCAAAGTACCAAAATGATTTTCATAAACAGTAAAAACACTGCCTTAGAAAAAGGCTGAAAGAAGATACACTCTCACCATGTCAACAATGGACAAATCCATAACCATAGTACATGTCAGGGGAAAGTAAAAGTAAACAAACTTGATTTATATTACTGGTGAACCCCATGGTGGTGGGGTCTAAATAGAAGACATCTGTAATATACTGTCAACAATAAAGTAAAATAAAAATTTCAAAAATAGTATACCCGACAACTTCAGAATATACATTCTTTCCAAGTGCACATAAATCTTTACCAATATTGACCATGTGGCTGGGCCACAAGTAAATTTCAAATTTCAAAGGATTAAAATGATTTAGATTAATTCACAGTGGGGTAATATAGAAATTATAGACAAAAGATAACTAGAAAATAGCAAAATAATTGAGAAACAAGGAATGCATGATACACCTGAGCAGAAAGATCTCTGGTGTCTTTTTTTTAATCCTCACCGGGGATATTTTTCCATTGATCATCAGATAAAGTGGGAAGGAGGAGGGGAGTGCGAGCAACATCAGTGTGAGAGAGACACATATACTGTCTGCCTCCCACAGGACCCCAACCAGGGCCAGGGACTGAATAGCATCTGAGGTATAGTTTCTTGAGCAGAATCAAACCTGAGACTCTTTGGTCCAAAGGCCAACGCTCTAACCGCTGAGCCAAATCGGCCAAGTCTCTGGTGTCTTCTCTTCAACTACTTACAATGTTACAAGTCCCACTGCATGAAGAACCTCCCTCTGTGACCTCATTTAACCTTAATTACCTCATAGAGGTTATGTTGATTATCCATTTCTATAGACCTTTTAGACCATTGATTTTCAATCTTTTTCATCTCATGAAAAACTGATTAATAAAATTCTGAAGCACACCAAAAACATTATTTTTTCTAATCTGACAAAGTTATAATTTTGATTCATTCACACTGGATGGCTATTGTTATGTTGGCTGTTGTCATTTTTTAGTTTGACAACCTAAGGGAAAAGTGGTCAGTGTCCCTGACTAAATAAAGTATTCCATGTTTCAAAAATTCTTGTGGCACACTGGTTGAAAATTCATTGTTTATTAAAATCCCTGAAAACTGGTTAATATACAAGAAAATACGAGCAGTAATTGAAAAAAAAACATTTTCAATATCATAAATCAAATGCAATGAAAAATGAACTTGACTTCTGATTAGTATAAAGACTTAACGGTAAGATATATGCCATATTCAAATATTTGAAGACAATTAAGAATACTAATTATGTCACAATTTATAAATTCAATGCAATCTAAGTATAAATTTCGAGATTTATTTCGATGAAAAATCGTAAGTTGATTCTAAAATTTACATAGAAATGCAAAAAGAATAACAAAGACAAATGTGTACAGACATGAGAATTAGGACAAGATTGGATGGCAGAATGGGTTACAGTTTACTCAGTAACTCAAGAAAAACAAGATTGAGGGCATGCACAAGTCCTAAGTAGAAAAACTTATCTATTCCTCAGCATACCTTCTCCTGGGAAAGCTCCTTTATATAACTGGCTAGGTAGAAGTATGATTCAAAATAAAAGGGCCTTTAGAATGGTAATTAAGGTTAAATGAGATCAAGAGTCCCTAACCCAACAGGACCACTGTCCTTACAGGATAAACATGAGGTGTATTCACACAAAGGGAAGATGACATGAGGTCACACAGAGAAAGTAGCTTCTGCAAGGAGAAGAGAGATGCCTGAGGAGAAACCAAATACCTGATCTTAGACTTCAATACTCTAGGTCTGTGAGAAATAAATTTGTCTAAGCCATCCTATTTGTGGTTATTTTGTTTAGGCAGCTCCAGCACACTAATGCAAAGCATATGGATATAAAGAAAAATAAACTTTATGAGTAATTTTGGTTTGTTTCCAACATTTTCTCTCCACTCTGGGGCCACAGAAGACACTGAAGCCTGAAAAACCACCCCTGAACCACGTAACTTAGAAGGAAGGGAGTTCTGTTTTCTGACTTTTTCTAATTACAGTCTCTACTTTTAAATACAATGCACTGCCGTGGCCGGTTTGGCTCAGCGGTTAGAGCATCGCCCAATGGACCAGAGAGTCCCGGGTTCGGTTCCCACAAAGGGCATGTACCACGGTTGCAGTTTGTCCCCAGCCACGGTTGTGGTCGTGTGGGTGGCAACCAGTCAATGTGTCTCTATCATATCGATGTTATTCTCACTCTCTTCCTTCTTCCCTCCCCTCCCACTCTATCTGAAGATAAATACAAAAATAAATAAATACAATGTACTATTAGACCTTTTGATATCATAATGGAGATTACTAGAGACAGATTTCCAGTCTATCATTTTTATTTCCCTTGGAAAATAAACCCTTTTGCCCCCAAATTGCCACCTTACCTGCTTTATCAACCCTCACCTGTGACAACAGTGGCACTCACCTGACAAACCCCAGCTATGGCTGGATGTAAGAATCCCCTCTGTACAGGAACACCCGAAGTTCTCTGGGGGGGTGAGAGAGAAAACAATCACTTAAGCCAGCAGACTAATCTTACTTCATGAACAGAAATGTCAGACTCACCATTGCCCAATAATTCTACCTCATTTTATTAAAATTTCATTTATATTGAAAATAATTTTATTGCTAAGACCTTTTCTCACCTCCCTGGTCCCCAGCCACTCCAAACTACACACATGCTTCCTTTATTCAGAACATCTGTCAAGATCCGCATACCATCAAATCTATAAAAAACATGTATCCTTATGATCTGCATTTAGAGTGACAGAGCTGACCTTCCTTCTATCAATCTGTACATTTAAAACCCAATTTCCCTTTCCTTTATTCCCAGTTATCAACCTGTCCCTATGGAATTAGGTCACTCACACATGTGGGTGTAAGCAAATACACACAGACTGTATGTATAGTTGCCAGTATTAAAAACCACAACAGTCCGGCTGGTATGGCTCAGCGGTTGAGCATCAATTCATGCACCAAGAGGTTGCCAGCTCGATTCCCGGTCAGGGCACATGCCCAGATTGTGAGCCTGATCCTCAGTAGGGGGCATGCAGGAGACAGCCATTCGATGTTCTCTCTCATCAACAAAATGGCAGTAAATACGTATCTATCAACAATTGAATCTAAAAAACAAAATAAATGAACAAGCGGAACAGAAAGGAACACAGATACAGAGAACATTTTCTCGTTGCCAGATGAGGAGTACGTGGGGGGGATGGGTGGAAAGGTGAAGGGATTAAGAAATACAAATTAGTTGCAGAATAGTCATGGGGATATAAAACACAGGATAGGCCCTGGCCGGTTTGGCTCAGCGGTTAGAGCATCGGCCTGCGGTCTGGAGAGACTCGGGTTCGGTTCCCGCTAAGGGCATGTACCTCGGTTGCAGTTTGTCCCCGGCCCTGGTTGGTCGTGCGGGTGGCAGCCACTCGATGTGTCCCTTTCACGTCGATGTTTCTCTCTCTCTCTTCCTCTCTCGCTCCCACTCTATCTTGTACAAAAAATGGAAAAATGTCCTCGGGTGAGGATTAAAAAAAACAAAAACAAAAAAAAACACAGGATAGGAAAGGAATATGGTCAGTAATATTCTACTATGTATGGTGTCAGATGGCGGCAAGATTTATTGGGATAATCACTTATTAAGTTATGTAATGTCTAATTACTGGGGCATACACCTGAAACTAATATAATATGATATGTCAACTATAATTGAAAAAAAATTTTTTTTTTTTAAATCTCCCTGGCCAGTTCATCTCCGTGGTTAAAGTGTTGGTCCATGGACCAAAGGCTCTCACATACCTGGGTTGCAAGTTCGATCCCTGGCCCCAGTCAGGGCCGTGCCGGAGGCAATCTATTGATATGTATCCCTCACATCAATGTTTGTCTTTCCCTCCCCTCCCTTCTACTATATCTAAAAAATAACAACTTTTAAAAAATTAAAAAATAAAATTGTCAGCACTATGCCTAACTGTATAGGTTATCAACAAAAACAATTAGCATCTTTTGATACAATGGAGTACCAAGCACAAAGTGTCTTGTGTTTTAAGTAAAAAAAAAAAAAAAAAAAAAGGTAAGGGAATAAAATTAAGACAAGTAAAAAACAAAAAGTAACAATAGTGGATATTAATCCAACTAGGTCATTTATAACTTTAAATGTGAATAGCTTCAACATTCTATTTCATAGTGATTAACCTGGCCAGGATGCTCAGTTGGTTAGAGCATCGTCCTGATACGCCAAGGTTGCAAGTTCCATCCCCAATCAGGACACATACAAGAATCAGCCAATAAACACAAATAGGTACAAAAATCAATGTTTCTTTCTTTCTTTCTATTTTCTCCATCTCTTTCTGTCCCCTTCCTCTCTCTCTAAATTAATTTAAAAAGTGTTTTAAAAGACAGTGAATGTTAGACTTCATTTTATTTTTTTTAAATCCTTACCCAAGGATATATATATTTTTTTTTTTTTTTTAACTGATTTTACAGAGAGAGGGAGAGAAACATCCATGTGGTTGCTTGCCATATGCACCCGACTGGGGATCAAACCTGCAACCTGGGTACGTGCCCTGAAAGGGAATGAAACCTACAGCTTATCAGTGTACAGGGTAACATTCCAAACAACTGAGCCACCCATCAGGACCAGACTACATTTTCAAAAACTAATTACATACTGTGTCCAATAGATATACTTCAGGGATCCAAAGATAAACATATTGAAATTAAAAGGAGAGGAATGTATTATCAGACAAAATACAATGAAACAAAAAAACGTTATTATAGATAATCGGGGACATTTTATAATCATACAAGGGTCAAACCACCAAGTAAATGTAACAATTGTAAACATATATGCACCTAACAAAGCATTAGGATACAAGTTTTTAATACATCATACACTCCCTCATTCCTTTCCAGTGGTGGTTAAAAAAAAAAAAACCTCAAGTACCTCATTGTAGGTCAGTGAATAATTGCATGTTGGTTGTCTGGTAGGTTTAAGGTTCTAACTTCTCTGGCAGTTACTGTGGGCTGGATCCAATAGTCCAAGTACTCTGGTGAAAAGGTCAGTAAGCAGCCCAGTAACATGGGCAGGTGACATCAAAGCACTAGATTCTTATAATAATCTGTTGTGCAGAATTCTTCTAGAAACATCCTTGCTTTGACTGGCTATAAGTGAATTAGTGAACCTTAAATAAGCCTAGCCATTGTGTGCACAAAGTTTGGCTCTACTAAACCCACTTACCTGGCTGAAGGTTTTACAGTTAACAGAATAGGTAATACTAACATGTTAATGCTGACAAGATATGGTAGCCCTCACTACAAGGCAAGCAGTTCTTGCAAGTTGACATTCATAAAGTGCTTGGTCTGAACTGGGAAAATTTGGAAGCATAATTCATATACTCCTGTCCTAAGAGAGAATCCATGGTGCTTTCCTATGTGTGATCATAAAAAAGACTAAACTTTCACAAAATTTTTTTATTGATTTTTTTTTTTTTGGAGAGAGAGAGAAACACTGATGTGGGAAAGAAACATCGATCAGCTGCCTCCTGCACGCCCCTGACTAGAGACTGAGCCCACCACCTGAGCTTGTGCCAAACCGACCAGGGCTATAGATACTTCTACTTATCTGTTTATTTTTATCCTCACCCAAGGACATTTTTGCATTTATCTTCAGAGAGAGCGCTCGCGTGAGAGAGAAACGTCGATGTGAGAGACACACATTGACTGGTTGCCACCCGCAGGACCCCAACTGGGGCCGGGGACAAACTGCAACCAAGGTACGTGCCCTTAGTGGAAACCGAACTTGGGATTCTCTGGTCCATGGGCTGATGCTCTAATGGCTGAACTAAATCAGCCAGGGCAATACCTCTATTTAAAAAAAAAAAAAAAAATCAACCAAAGCACAAACACCAACACTCTAATGTAAAAGCCACTTTTCAGGAATTCCAAAAGTACTATGATTTATTGAAACTTTTCTAGCTCTGACTTAATGTGTCCTCAGTCACAGGAGAAATATGGTTATCAAGTTCTTGAAATAGGTTTTGAAGAGTATTCTTCTAAGCTTCACATTACTTATAACATTTTTTTTTATAAACAACTTTATAAATAGCTAATGTTTGAGAATTCAAGATAGGCCAAGAAATGTCCTGAGTGTTCTAAATACATTCTCACATTTAATTGTCACAATAAATGAATGACGTTAAGCAGTCTTCCCTAAGCAGTGGGGCCCTAGCTAGAAGTAGGGTTAGAAGTCCTACTATCATATCTATAAAGCTGTTTCTCCACACAGATAAAAAAGAGACAAGACCAAATGGATTTACATAGTTTATTACTCACTCAAAAAGCAAAACCAAGAGCATCAACCTGAGGTCCTGAGACCCGGGTTCAGTTCCTGCTAAGGGCATGTACCTCAGTTGCAGTTTGTCCCCGGCCCTAGTTGGATCGTGTGGGTGGCAGACACTTGATGTGTCCCTTTCACATCGATGGTTCTCTCTCTCTTTCTCTTTCCCTCCCACTCTATCTGAACAAAAAAAAAAAGGAAAAATGTCCTTGGGTGAGGAAAAAAAAAAAAAAATAGCAAAACCAACATCAGTATCCCCACCCAGTCCTAGGTTTTACTGAGGCAGATGAGAACACAGGCTGCTGAGGAGCCTGCAGCTGTACCCCAAAGGTGAACGGATGTAGTAAAATAATACTATGCTCAACTGAAACTAGGGAGGCACACAAGAAACAACCTTGTGGCTATTTCTCACAAGGCTGTGTATCAACATTTGTTCTGGGAGAACTTGCAGAGTGTCCTGCCAACATGTGCGTCAGACCAAGATTAACTGTGTGGCCTATGGGAAGACAAAGGTCATTTATACCTCTACTCCCGAATCTGTCATGCATCCAGCTACAAATTCTCTTCAGATTCCTAGGCTACTCCATCAGATACTCTTGTACTTTCTCATAGGCAACACTAGGTAGAGTGAGTAGACTGTGACTCCCAGCAGGATGATCAGGCCTCTTGTGGAGGTCAGGTCACAATCAGGATCTCCGCATGAGGTTAGCTATGTCCCAAATATCATCAAGCTTCACCAGTGAGAGCCACACAAAAAACAGGACAGTGGGAAATAAACTGCTCTATTTTTTTTGACCGATTAATCCAGGTATAGTATGGGATGTTGGCAATTATATCCCATCATGACTGGCTAGCAGGAAGTTCAGTGCAACGCAACTATCATTCTGGCTAGAAAGTCCAAACTACAAGTAACCCTTGAATAACACAGGGACTAGGTGCACTGACTACCACCCACAAACTTTGCAGTTGAAAATCCAATTATAACATTTGATTCTCCAAAACTTTAACTACCAAGTCCACTGTTGACTAAAAGCCTTACTAATAACAATTGACACATATTTTGTTTATGTATAACATACGGTACTCTTACAACAAAGTTACATAGTACGATATGTATTTATTGAAAAATAAATCCATGTATAAGTGGATCTTCCCAG